AAATATGCATAAGATTTATTGACTATTTTTAAAAGATAAGAAGTGCTCCAAAGTCTATACAACGAGGGTAAAATGAATTTTGGCCGAAAATTAAATTGACCCACTGATATAACTGTATGATGCTGATTATATGGTTCAAAGAAATAAATGATAGATATAAATTAAAAAGTATACCGTCTATTGTTTTTAAGACAATTGATAAATTATTTTGGTTACAATTATGATATTAAGTCTAAATGTTTCATGGATGATCTACTCACAATATTATTTCAAAATAATAATTCAGCTTATTCAGAATGAGCACCCAATAATGATTTCACGTCCCAAATAACACGAATCCCAATATGTGTGAAGCTGAGAGAGAGAGTCTCCCCTTAAAAAAATTCTTGTTCAATGCATCTAGTTAGCATTTATGAATATTGCTCGGATTTTTCGCAAATACATGCTACCCACATTAGGCTTCATGAACCGAATTCAAATCTCAGAATCGAACTTCAATCGTCGGTACAATCAGAGAAACTCAATTCCACCCAAATAAAAAATTGTCAATGCACTATAACATTTTTTACTTAAAAAAATTATATAAAGAACAAAAACAAGGATACATAGAATTATATTAGTTATATATATAAAATATTAAAGGGGCGGCTGATGCATAATCATATGTGAGCAATGATTATGATTATGAATAAAGAAGATGAATAGAAATTATCTATGTTTACGGAATTTGAAAATATCTGAATTAGTAGATTTCACATGCAAGTTTTCAAGCTCATTAATTGTGGGCATTTTTGAAGAACCAGAAAAAGCATCATCAATTGTGCGTATTATTGTTAAAAATAAAAAAAAGTATGACCAAAAGTCAAGTGTGCACGAAATTAACCAATTGAATAGAGAGATAGAGAAAAAGGAGATTCTGAAAAATTATCAAAATTGAAATCTGAAATCAAAATCTGAGAAAATTGTATAAGGAGGGTTAATGTAGGGGAATATAAAAGAACGAGGGTTTTTGATATGGAGACCTCTTAAAACTATTTGAGAATATCACTTTGACCCTATAGAATTAATTAAAAGGATACAAATGGAACCCCTTAAACTATTAACCCTTCGTTAGTGGGTCTGATTGTACGTTTAGTTTAGGGGTTCACTTGTACAATTTTTTGTTTGAGGACAAAAGAACTTTCATAGCTGTTTAAAGATTATTTGTACTTTTTTCATAATTTAGAAATCATAGTTGAATATTTCCAATAATTTAAAGGTCTTCATGTAAAATTACCCAAAAAATAACAAATTCACACATACGCAGTGTGATTTATACAAGGAAAAGTACACATACTAATCAATTTTCTATCTTCTCTTCTCACTCCAAGACACAAAGGTGAGTAGGTTTCATATGCATTTATGAATGGAAATTGACATTCTTGTGTTTATAAAGTGAAAAGATGAGGACAAGAAATTTATTATATAGACACATTGTCCTTTATATTATACATAAGGCCCAGTTTGGGGAAGATAAAAAAATTGCACTTTTTGTCTTTTTGATAAAAAAATTGATGGTTGAAAATATGGATGTTTGGGTTAACTTTTTGGACTTTTTTATTGAAAAATTGGTAATAAAAAATTGTAAAAATTGATTTGTACGGGAAAAATTTGAATTTGGGAGTGAATGCAGCCGTAATTGTTGACTAGTTGGTGATAGTGTTAACTTGTTAGCTGTTTGAGTGAGTAACTTTTTGACTTTTTAACTTTTTTGGATCTTCCCAAACTTGCCCTAAAAGTTGTGCACACCTACATTAATGTGCTTGAAATTTGTAATTATAGATTTGCAATTTCGAAGGGTACGTAGATATATTTGAATTTAATAGTTACAGAAGATGGAAGAAAGATAGTATAGAAATTACAAATAAATAAATAAAAATTGGCGTTCATACCAACTCAGGTGTATACATATATAATAAAACTAAAAGTTGGCACACACACTATATGTGTGTTGATGGTTATATAAAAGATTTGGATCTTAAAATAATTGAATCTGATAATAGCAGTAATTTGAAAACAGTTAGATAGCAATTACATGGTGAAAGTATTTTGATTCCCCACTGGGTGAGTGCTTGCAGCAGTTTGAAAAAGTTACATGGCTTTCCCCGGCCTACTTACCTCGGAGGATTAGTCCTGGCTTCTTGAAAAACTAGAGGTTGGGGATACCTGCATTATCAAAAAAAAAAAAAAAAAGTATTTTGGGGAAAAAAAAAAATTATGGCATTCATACAAATTCAAGAGTTGGTTTCATGTAATTGTATAAAGAGTTTAGACAGAGACATAGAGAAATAGAATCGAAAAAAATTACCTGTCCATTCTGTCTGTTAGAATAAATGTATAGGGAAAAAGAGAGAAACAATTATGTATGTATTATTGATTGTTATAGTTTTGATGTATTGTATGTACATTATATAGGAGATGGAGATGTGAAGTGGAGGTGGAGTGGTGGAGTAGGTGAAGTGGAGTGTGTAGTGGAGTAGGTGAAGTGGAGGTGGAGTGGTGTAGTGGGTTAGGTTTAGTGGAGTAGGTTTAGGTGTACATTAACAGCCCCCCTCAAACTCAAGGAGGATAGGAACTAACCAATTTGAGTTTGAAGAGAGTAACAAAACAAGAAAGTAAACTGATAAATAAAATAAAACAGGATAGGAGACACGGTACAGTCGTGTCAGACCGATGTAGCAGACAGTTTATGGGGTCATGTCGGACCGTTGTAGCAGACAGTTTACAGGGTCATGTCGGACCGTTGTAGCAGACACTGTGTGGTTGTGTCAGACCGATGTAGAAGACAGTTCATGGGGTCATGTTGGACCGATGTAGAAGACAGTTTACGGGGTCATGTCGGACCGTTGTAGAAGACAGTTTACGGGGTCATGTCGGACCGTTGTAGCAGACACTGTGTGGTCGTGTCAGACCGATGTAGAAGACAGTTTACGGGGTTATGTCGGACCGTAGTAGAAGCTGACCGGAATCAATGTCGGGACAGTTTATGAGGTCATGTCGGACCGTTGTAGAAGCTGACCGGAATCAATGTCGGGACAATTTATGAGGTCATGTCGGACCGTTGGAGAAGCTTGTGGTGGTGCACCAAGGGGGCGACTTAGGGAGTGCGCCATGGGGTGGCTTGGGTGGTTCCCATGGTGTGTAACCATGCTCACCATGATACATGATATATGTATAACCCCCCCTCAAACTCAAATAGGTGTGAAGATAGAAACCTATTTGAGGTTGAAACAAAGGGATTGATAAAAGCTGACCGTTGTAGAAGACACTGGATGAGTGTGTATATAGGCTGCCCAAAAGATATACATGGATATATATATCGAGCCCTCAAAAGTTGCGCCCTCAAAAGGCGTGCCCAATCTTTCAAAAGGCGTGCCATCAAAAGGCGTGCCCAATCCATAAAAAGGCGTGCCATCAAAAGACGTGCCATCAAAAGGCGCGCCCAAGTTTTCGGCGAGCACCGAGAGGCGCATGATGCGCGTGTCTGCTTCTTCATCATGGTCTTTATAAACCGAATTGGAGGCTGAGGCTTGGAAGCATAACAAACCAGTTGAAACCGCTTCGTTCTCTGAGAGCTTGTCGCTAAGAGCTGCAAATCTTGAAACACTCTGTAACCAACCCTTCTCTGAAACACTCAGCAATCCATAACATGGCCTCGTATTCCCGTTCAGCTATCTAGAATATGGCCTCTTCGTCCCGTGGTCTGCTCACTCTCTTTCCCGACCTCAACGAGTCAACAAGAGAGATAACTGGTGCGATGGCCAGTGAACCTCAACCAAGCGCCTCTGGTTTTGCTCCGTTGAACTTTCCGATGCGGTCGGTGGAGCAAAAAATGGCGGTGCAAACTGATATTGAGGCCAATCAGTATACATTGAAGTCATGTGTGGAAACCATGACTGCGGTTACAAACTTGTCGCACCGGCTGCAGAGTAGGACAAATGAGGTGCAGCAATTAAACGCCCAGCTGGCTCTGCTCCAACGCATGTATCGTCTGTTTTGGGGAAAGTAACCGTGTCAAACGACGCGATGCAACGCAACACGGGGTGCGGGTGTGGGATTTGTTAGTGAAAAAATTCAAGGTATGTGTAGAGGTCCGACGGGCGGCCAAGGCGAGGCTGCCGCCCGCCGGTGAAGCAGAATCACTAGTTTCTTAACCTTGCTCTGATACCATGTTAAAATTAA